GAGAAAGCGTATCTCCCACCAGAGACAACACAACCATGCAGACAACTGCCTGTGTTGAGAGGCAAATTGTGCAACTTTCAACAGCATTTTATATTTAATTAAGCACATACTTATGGTGGTGTTGCCAAGATACAGAATATACAGAAAAAAATAAAGTTCTATCACCAAAGGATTTAAGCAGAACAGAAGAGGCCTGCCTGGCACAGAAGAGAAGCAAAAGAGAAAAGAAGAAATCCACTTCTTAACAGTAACAGCAGATGCCCAGGGAAGAACAAAAGGGCCAAGAAAGTTACAAGAACTATAAGCAGGGCAAACTTAACCAATTCCATGTGTACAGTAGGTCACCATCTGGAGGTCTGTATTAATCTGGTAACCTCACTATTCTGTCTTCTTGGATGCTGCACAGAAGCACTAGCAGAAGTTATTTTTGGAAATAAGGTGGGGGAGGGAAGATGGCTAGGAAAGCTACAAGATACCCAAGAAGAAAAACACATAAGAATATTAAGCAGAACACATTAGCAAGAAATTCCTTTCCCCTCCCCCCCCCCCCTCCCCCCTGCAATGTTCAGCATTTATTAGTGCAAGATATCTATTAGTATGAGTTTATAAGCTTCATGAGCAGATCTGTCTTCTGGAAGTGGCAAAAAAGAATGTCAGGATCCTCGTTTCAGTGGGTACTTTACTAAACAAGGCCAGGCTGTATCAGTACTGCTAAGCCTGCTGGGAGGAGCACATGTCGCTAAGTTCATCCACATGACACATCAGTGCAGAAGTACATGAAGTTTAGAATAAAAATTAAGCAGCATGTAGGTCTCATGACCTTCAAACATTTTCTCTGGTGCTCTCACACTCCATGAGCAGAGCAGAACAGCACCTGAATTCTCACCAACACCACTACTAGATCTTAAGTAAAATGCAAACAACTAAATGAATCCAACATTTTCAGAAGAGCTGGAAAACCCGCATACACTTTAGTACGCCTACTAAAATACCCAGAAGTTCTAATTCTGTAGGAGTGTACATGTCTTTCAAAAGTAATACAACATATGTGCATGCATTTACACTTACATCTGATTTTTAGCCGCTTGTCTCTGAGCTTTCCGTTCTTTCCTTTTTTGATCTGGTGGCTTAGCAAAAACAATTTCAATGTTTTCTCCCTCTAAATCTTTGCCATTCATTTCTTCCATTGCCTGAAGGAATTAACCAGACTTTAAATATACTTCTAAGCATATCTGAAGTTATTAATTTTATCTTTTAGAGTATGCATTTTAAAATGTTATCCAGAGTTAAAATAATATAAAGCTAAAAACATTTTTGAAAATAATCAGAGAGCATAATATTGTGGGTTCCAGAGTTATACACTTCCTCTTAAATTGTCTCTCAAACCCAGGGCTGCATGTATCAGTTTAGAAATCTTCCACTCAAAACCGTAAACAGGCTTCAATCTTTGCAAGCTGTTTCAATTAATGAAGTTATGGAACCGTCCTCTGAAAGCACAGATTTTTGCAATACGGGAATAAATTTCTAATGTCAGCACACACACAAACACTCCTAAAGCTAGAGACCAGTATATAGTTTTATTCCTTTATTTTACTTGTAATAAATGTAACTTTCTTTTTAAACCAGAAGACAAAAATTAAAATTTAACAGTCTCATTCTTACCACAAAAAAAAAAAAACACAATCCACCCACCCAGAACAAACTGCCACCAAAAGAAAAAACCCAACAAAAAACACACCAACACACACACATAAAATTCCCATGGGTCACAGTAATTGCCACAAGTTAATTTCAAGCAGGGGAATCCTAAAGATTCTACCACTTTTAGGGACTCTACACAGCTATGCCGTGACAGGACACATCCTATGAAAAGATTCTTTCCATCATCTCCTGGATGAGCAAGGGAAAGAAGCGTGGGGGGGAATCAATCTCCTTGTATCCTGCATCCTCCCACAAAACATAAAAAAATAGCTACACTATAGGCAGGAGAGGAACTACTTTCCCTTCCTAATGACAGATGACAGGATAAAAAACACCAAGACCAGGCTTGCAAAATCCAGGAATGACAATTACTGAATCATCCAGCACCTCTCATCAAAAAAAATGCTTATTCCACACCATAAAAAGGAAATCATTCTGTTCCTGGAAAATAAGAAGATTAGCTAGGCTTTTATCACCTGCCCTAGAGAAACTGCTTTAGGTTCTACCAACAATTTGGTGAGAATAGTAATTCAACTTCTTGCACTTCAGTTTCAAATGATAAACACATACAATTATCTTAGATACTCATAAGTAGAATTACTTAGGATAGGTGAATCTAAGACCCACTTTTCAAGATAGCAACTTGCATCTCCCTAGGAGACACCCAGAGAGGACAAAGCTATCAACGACAATATGTTACCATTCCTCCAGACAGAGCTTTTTCTCAAGTTCAAAGAAGTATACAGCTTCTAAGTGTTACGTTTAGTCACTGCTTACACACACAGTTAGAGTGCACTTACCTTTACAGCACCATCCCGTTCATCAAAATGAATGAAAGCATAGTCTTTTAGCTTCTTCACTCGCTCTAGCTTTCCAAATTGACTGAAGGCCTTTTCTAGTATCTCCTCTGTTACAGTATTGGCAAGATTGCGTACAAACAAAACTTTTACCTGAACAAAAAAACAACCAAAAACAACCAAAAACTTAGAAGTATGATCTAATTCCAAAACACAATATGAAGTTTCACAAGTTACTGCTATTGGCAGTACTGAAAACATAATTACATTTTACATACATATTCATACGGTGCAAGTTAGCTCCAAAATTCCCTGACTGATAGAAATATTAAACCTTTTCAAATATGATTACATAGTATTAGTATTCTGAAACTCAATCCAATTTGTGTTAATGCTTAAAAGAATCCTAGTAGCAGTAATTTTCAACTCAAAACACTTTCAAACTTGGAAGAAGGCAACTAGAATTGGTTACACACAAAATAATTAACTTCTCAAAACATTTCATTGTTTAGACAGGTTTTTGCTCAGGTATTTGCAGAACAGTCATCGCTATAATATCTAGGTCAGAGGTGACAGGCCTGCAGTTCTCAAGCTGCTTAACTTCCCATGCTATAGCTACACCAAACACCTAGAATCAAGACTGCGCTTGCCTGAGGAACACTCCATGACCTGAAGCCACAGCCAGAAAACACAGACAGAAGGGGATACTAAGGCTGACTGCCAAATCACCCTTGGATTTCCTCACAAGTCAAACTCTATCCTTGAGGAACAGCCACCTCAAAATAACTCTGAAAGTCTATTCCCTCCCCTGGCTCTCTAAAGCATGCAATATGGCTCTTAAGCTACACAAAGACTGCTATGCAGCCTGTAAGTTTAGAGAGGTTGGTTATCTTTCAGCTACCAAGATATGCCCTGTTAACTGCCTGACAGTGACTAAATTATCAACATAAAGTTTCATCAACTACCAACTGCTTGCAACAGAAAATACAGAACAGTCTGACATAAGGCTTAAACTAGATTCTTATTTAACATAGCAGACAATGTACACTGGACAGCAGGAATCACAAATGTCGGTGACCCGTTAGTATTCAGAGACTCATCCTTGCATCCACACTGAAGTTGCACTAAATGGCTGTACATTAGCATGTTTGCATGATGTCATCCACAAGTTCTCACAATTTAAAAGCCTCTTTGACTTGTTGGAAGGAGTCCCTTCGAATTGCTGCCACCATGCCGTGACAGTCTAGTCACCTCCTACCGCCAAAGAATGCTCCCAGTCCTACCTCCCTACAATGGAGCTGCACATCAGCTGCCAAGACCTACAACTTCTGCTCACATCCCCTCCACTACTAGTGGTTGCAAACCAGTAGATGACAAAAAGTTAGTTGTACATGGCAGCACTGACTTCCCACTCCTAACCCTGAAGAAGTGAAGAGACCAAAGCACTCTTCAATTTTTGAAGCGGAGCTGTAATTTCTACTCCCACCACACACAGGAACCCAGTAAACCCCAGGCATCCTTTTTATAAGAATTACTATGTAATAAATTTACAAATAAACAGGACAGACTTCCATAAACCTTCGTCTCACTCGCTAGCCTAACTCTGATGGGATGCAGAGCTTGGAAGAAACGATACTACAGATCATAAATCTGACCCTGTGTATCATCTCTAGTCTTTGGCTCTAGCTACTCTTGCTCATTCTCAGGAGGTAAGAGTAGCTCCATAACAAAAGCTGCTTCCTATCCTGTGTTAAGCTTCTCCTGCATGCCTGGATGGTAAGAGCTACCTTTATTTCTTGTGAACAAAATGTAATAACCATATTTAGTAAACTGTCCTAATTCCTACCTTATCTTTATTTCATGAAAATGAATGACAGGAAGTTTTGTGATGTAATCAATGGTTTTAAAAACCAGTAACATTCTAACAAGTGATCCTTATTCTTGTACCTTAGGAAAGGATGAAAACTAGAATCTCATGAGAAACCCTAAGTAGCTTTCACTAACAAATCCACAATGACTGACATAATGTCAGTCATGATTAAAAACCTCAAAAATCATCACTCTTTTGTTGCAAGATGCACTAACACCATCTTTTAAAAGAAGAAATAAAATGCAACTAATTTATTTTTTTCCAGTGCAGACAAATCCATTAATCTGTAACAGTTGAAAGTTTTTAACACCTTTGGTCATGTTGGAGGTTGGAAGTGTAGTTGAACCAGTCAAAAAAGATGACAAAGCTAGGAGACAGGTTAAAGTATATGTTGAGAGAAGATGAGCCCATTCTTACTTAATTTAAGCTACTCAAAGATGGGAAGGGAAAAAAAAAGAAAAAAGGGAAATCCTCTTCGTTAAGGCTCACAGATTAGAACACCAAGAATCCATACACACACACCTAACAAGCCACATACCCAGCAGCATTTTGTTATAACGGCAGAACACACTTTTAAAACTGCTTCAGATTAGACTACCCCCAAAACTTCTGGGATCTGCTCTTTTTCCTCCTCTCACCTACACAGAAACACTTCACACTTCGTTACCACATTCTCCAAGGGTTACTAGCCCTGTCTCCTGCCCTGTAATCTACCAGGCAGCCAAAAGCATAAGACTTTATTTAGCTGCTTAACCTGCCACTCCAGAACATCCTCTGTAGCCTCAGCCATGCTACAAAAATCAAGTAAAACATATGAAATTTATCTGCACTACAGGTGTAAGAGGTATCAAAATAACAGGAGATATTAAGCTATCAACACAGCTATTGGGAGTTGGAAAAAAGTTCACTTTCGACCAGGCATCAATTACTTATCCAACTGTACTCTGACCTGTCAGTACAAGCACTAACCTCCTGTAGCTCATATGTCTGGCTTCAGAATCTAGCTGTCTACCTCCTCACGCTCAAGGTACTTCATATTTAAGGTAACAGCCCACTTAAAATTTAAGTACGCATCCATACAGTACTCTCCACAACATATAAGCAAAAGTCTGGAGGAGAAAGGAAAAAAAGGCTCAGTAAACATTTCAGAAATTCAAATTAGTAGGCATCTATATATTGACAAAATGACATGCTGCTTCTGCTAGGTATTTAGAACAATGCTGTTCACCTTCTGGCTACAAAAGTGAATTTGTCTTCCCCATAGTTTGCTCTTTCAGACTTGTTTTGCTAGCAGTCTTGACAAGAAAGCCACCAATCAGATGATTATTCTGATAAAGCAACCTACTCCTACTCACAGTGTTTCCCCCAGAGCCTCTACCACAGGAATGTGTAAGACAACAAGGGTCAAGAGCTCTCCCTTTGCTCCTGATTGACAGTGCTCAAAAGCAATGACAGCCAGCATGCAGCTTGTATCTAGGAGATTACAGGCAGCCGCAGCAGCTCAGCTGCTCTTCTCTTAGGAGAAAGACGACAATAAATAACAGAAAGTAAACATAACATTTCCAGAAGTGCCAGATGAGGTCAGAGTTTCTCCAAATGTACAGTAAGTGGGCAAGAAAGATTGGAGTAGAGACTTTCCTTATTTTAAGAATAAGCTAAGGGACACACTGCAAGAAAGATCGAACACCAATGCTTGTTTCAACTTCTGCCTTCAGACACAAGCTAGATGTTCTCCACTTTTTCAGTATTCTCATTCACATAGTCTCACTTTTCTATACACCGTCAATCCAAGCTCCGTACCCTATCTTTGGCATATGGCACTAGAAGTATACTAGCTGATTTCTGCACATTTTCCATATTTATGTTTCTTCCCTTTTCATGTCCCATTTCAAACACAAAATAATACAAGGCATCAACACATTCAAAAAAACTATGTATTAAATCAGGCAAACCACTATCAAGCTTTAATTTCTTTAGCCTTTCACTCCCCACATCTGTAAACTTAGGAAAGATAGTCGACTGTGTCCCCCTATCACTTCCTGCTCATCTATTCAGTCATGTCAGCAGAAGTTCCTGCTCATTTATTTTAACAGTTTGCTGGATTAGGTCTCTTCTCTTATGAGCCAAGAAACTGAATAAATAGGCTGACATATTTAGGACGTACCACCTTTGACAAATTCTACCTGCAAGACTATTCCCCGCTGCTGATAGCCTATGATGCCAGGCAAGAAAAATAAAGTCTGCACACAGGGCAGCCCAAAAGCTTCTGTAATACCTGTATTACAAAAGCAGCTTTTTCCCTAAAATGAGCCCCCACCCCAACCCTTTTCCCTTATGGCTCACCAAAGAGGAGATCCCAGCCAAGCTATCTTACTAGGTCCATCAAAGTAGGACTCCAGCAAGTGACGTGTCTCAGATGAGAGTAAAAGCACAGACAAAAAGCAAGCAAAGAGAAAGAGATAAGGATATGGGCTAGCTAGGATTTTCCATTAAACAACTCAGCTACACAACATAACTGAAAAAGACAAGGTTGGGCATTATCTGATGGAAAAAAAACACTCGGGTAATTCATTTCTGGCAAAATATCACACACATATATATAAAACAACTGGCACAACGTACTTCAAAATGTTAACAGTCCAGACTTCAGTTTCACTGAAATATTCAAAATCCAAAATATTACTAGTCTTAGTATTTTAAGGAATTAACCCCCCAAATTAAAGATAGAGAGTTCCAAATACAAAGTAATTGCCCGACTTCTGCAAACTAACTGCTAAAAGCAACTTTGAAAACACATTTGTGCATCTTACGGACATGTTCTAATTCTCAAGTGACAAGAGAAATTCCAATTTAAAAAGAATTAAGACTTGTTCTGTGATTGTATCTAGTTTTCTGTCCCTCCAAATACTAAGCTACAAAACCATTTTAACTTTTTGAGTCACCACCACCACTTCCAGATGAGAAATTAAGTACACCACCCTTTAAGCACATCTTTTGGCAAGATCATCTCACCTACAACATCTCTGTCAAGAAGGCTGAAAGATGCTATTTAAAATTAGGCTAATGTCAGGAAGTACTTACTTTACAACAAGGCACTTTAAATGTTTTATGGTTCCCTTATAGCTTTATTACCTTTGCCATGACTTCAGGATCTGGGTCTTCTATAGGGTCAGCCCATTCAACCGTAACAACATTTCCCCAAACTTTCACTTTGCCACTCATTAACCTACGTCGGGCCTGAGCGGCAGTTTTGTGATCTTCATATTCAAGGAAACAGAAACCCCGGTTCTTTTTCTTGTCATCAGGCTGATGATACAATATGACATCTGTAAGACCCTCTGAAATTAAAAAAAAAAAAATATTTGTTAAGGCTTCAATCCTTGAATTTGTATTCTAAAGCAGGGATTATCTTTCTGGTAAGTATGCATCTGACAAGTGGTTCCAAAAAAGCACACACACACTAAACTTTTGAGACCATGTACATAATAAAGTTTCCCTACCTTCAAGACCAACATTTTCAAAGACAGACATTAGACTATCCTGACTTAGGTTCCATTTCTCATTAAGTGAGGAAAGCTCAGAGGTAGGAAAGACTACCTTTCCTCTAACTGAATGAAGATAAGGGCAGCCAAAAGTTGTGCATTGTCAGTTCTCCTCTCAAACCCTTAAGTCACACCACTAATCATCAGGTGTGTTTTCCATGGATGTCTAAACAAGAGAACAAACTTGCCTGATTTTAAGACACCTAAGAAATTTCAGTGTTGCTCCAAAGAACCTGAAGTATATCATTCAGTAACACAGAAAGCCATCAACTGTTAGTTTCCCAGTTTATATGCCATTATCAAAAACAGACCCTTATCAAATCACTAAGAATTCTGAAGCACAGAACTAGTTACATTCTCCAACCTGCTTCAGTTTTGCCTTGAGAAGTTTTAAAACATCCATTATTATTGAAATAATTAAACCATCTATTTCGAGTGGGTTTTTTAAACATTACACACTTATTCTTTCGGTAAAACTTGGAACCACACATCTAATCTAATCACAAGTATTTCAGCCTTCAGCACAACAGTAGTTTAAAAAAAAAAAAAACCAGCAAAAAAAACACCACACAACCAACCACCTAGAAGTTGGAACAAATGCCGAGTGGTCGTCATCTGGATTCATCATCATTCAACAATGAGCCAAAAGATGAAGAGAGTTCGTCACTGATCATGTCTGACATCTCTCCAGCTCTACAAAACATATTTATTGACTTACCTGTTACTTTGCTAAATTCTTCAACAATTTGCTCCTTGGTTTTACTCTTAGGAATAGAACCAACAAAAAGCCTATTATTGGCAACAGAGATGCATACACCAATGTGTTTTCCAGAACGAATTTCATGGTTGTTGTACTGAAAGAAAAATAATTCGACAATCATCAGTGTCAGATAATTTTTACTCCCCTCCCAACAGCAGCATACCAAATATTTTACTTTTGCAAACATAGCATTGAGTAATATATTAAATTCTTTGGACCTTAACACATTATTACGATGCATATTCAACTGTTCTGAAGTATGCCCGTGTTCTGTAAGATATCGCCACAATTTCAGCCAACAATTATTCTTCCCTTCTTGTTCGAGATTCTTTCTTAATACATGTTTTTTTAGAGACTTTTTCATGTAGAACCATGAAAGGCAAATCTATGTCCAAGTCATCAAGGTCAAGGCTTCCCCCACTCACAACAGTGCAGAAAAAAAAATTCAAGTTCCTCTACAGATAGTATCTATGAATTCTTCATTTGTGTATAACACAGGAGTTACAATTAAAGTCAGATTCCCTTCTAAAGTCCACAGATAGTAAGAGAGCCATGATCAGGTCTTCTCTACAAAACGTGCAAGAGCAATTGGCAAATACTTTCCAAAGTACACAGACTACACATGTAAAGATAGTAAACAGCAATAACAACCTTCCACTGACTTGAAATCCTAAGACTTCTGTTCAAATGCTTCTCCCACAACAGATTGTTTAGAAGACACCCTGAGCAAGTCAGCAGTTTAAGAAAAAAAAAAGTATTACTGTAGACATCTGTTGACAAAAAATGTCTTTCATTGAGATGCAGACACAGATATGCATCATCCAAATAAGCAGCAGGGAGGTCAACTGGTGGTACATCAACCCCTTTCCAACTGGAAGCCCTGCAACAGACAGTTCTTTAGCTAGGAAAATGTATTCTGTGGTCAACATCTTATTGACAAGTAGCAGGACAGCTTTTTAGAATGTAATCTATTTATTCTACAAGTTATTTTGTATTTGATGGTAAACCTTCCTGCATAAGCAAGTTCTCCCACACCCCTTATTGCTTTGTGCACTAAAATCAAGGTGAATGTTTGATGATTATTTATATTTATCTTGTATAAACTAAAACTACATCACTGAAAATTTTCATAGGTAGACAGCTACACCAAAAGTGAGCTTAAAGGAAAGATGTACATGTGAAAAGGATCTGGAGTGGCATCTTCCCAACTAATTATGTCTCAAAACACAGTAGGATACAGTAAAAGACTTCTATCTCCATATCTGTTGCCCATGTGGCAGAGGAATAGTTGACTTTAAAGTAGAAAACAGATGGATAGGAAGTCTATATATATTATTATGATGACTAATAAACAGATTTATACACATTAATGAAGAGACAGATTACAGTAGCTCAAAAGAAATCCTTTAAAGAAACACCTTTAAAGAAGCTGACAGTTTATTAGCCTGGAAACAAGACACAAACTTGTTCTTCAATAACTGAAGCGTACGTTAGGAAACATTTCTTTACATTAGGGAGCATATTTTTTTTTACTGACAGTGGTCAGACACTGGAACAGACTTCCTAGAGAGGTGGTCAACACCCCAAGCCTGTCAGTGTTTAAGAGGCATTTAGACAATGACCTTAATAATAATACTTTTAACTTTTGGTCAGCCCTGAAGTGGTCAGGCAGTTGGACTAGATGATCATTGCAGGTCCTCTCCAACTGAAATATTCTATTATGTATGGATAATAGAAGATATTACCTGACAGTGCCTGTTAAAGTCAGAGAGACAAAGTCTAAGAGTCTCCAAGAGCCAAAACCAAAGTTTGGCTACAAATTTAATCCAAGAAGAGCCTCTCATACAACTTACGGCAACAAAGTATTATTTCATAACTTTAAAAAATTAAAATATTCTACCATATTGCAATTCCACATTGACAGTAGTTTTTATTAGTTTTTTCATACTAGAATACATTAACTACTACTTTTTGTTGTATGTTTCTCTTAACACAGAGGAAAGAGTCTTGAGTTAGGTGCTTTTGAACATAAAGTTGGTGGTTTTTAGGTAGTTTGCATACCATCTGTAAACTTAGAATAGACATAAACAGGCCCAAATCATGATCTGGGTGAAGTGCCAAAACGGTCAGGCTACCAAATTAGCTATGTCAGCATACTGCTTCCCCCTCCTGTCACTGCTGAATCAATGCCCAAAGTTAGTAACAGACATATTACTACCCTCTAGACACTGCGATAGATTGATTTTTCTTTTTTGCTAAGTTCTGTAAGAACCTACTTCACAAGCAGGTCAAAGTATGCATAAGGTCTGTCCTGTCATTTTATCCACTTAAAACTTTCACCAGCAATTTTAGTTTATTTCCAGCAGCAAATGGCAAGATATACTGCTAGGCACAGCTGGCAAACTGCTTAAGGGATATATTTGCGTAACTCACCTGTATCTGCACTTTGATCAAGCTTATACCTGCTCTAGTAAAAAAACACCCTGTATGCTACTACAGCTTCCAGCGTCTTTTCCTACAATCACAAGTATTTATCCTGTACATGTCTACAGTAACCCTAATCACTCAGAAATCTGGAAAACTGAAGTCTCCTAACTTCATAAAATAGGAAGGAAAATTGAATCTTAAGCCTTCTCAGTATCAGGCCATGGCATCATTCCATTTTTGTCTCAAGCATAGCTCCAAAAGTATTTCAAACACAATTTAGGGAATTCTTCTGTTAAGTGGCTTAAAAATGCATATGCAAAAACAAAACCAAGGCTTCAACTTTTTAAATTGCAAGATTCCTTCTGGTTAATGAATAGGTTGAATCAACATTAAGTTTATAAAAAATTTTAGTTCAGTTTTACATTAAGTAGTTATAAAGACTGTGGATGATACAATACCCATGCAAACATAAATTATATGCAAAATACATTAAATCAACTGCAAGAGCCTGAAGACAGGTGAGTTTATTCTCTGCTGCAGTTTGGGTATTGACAAAATGTCATCATCGTCTCTTATTACTTAGAAGCCTACAGGCAATGCAGATATTTTCAATCTCATTTTTGCTATAATTCAGAGTCCTGAACAGGAAAAAAGAAAAAACCTCTGGGAAGAAGGTGGGAAATAACAGAACCACCCTTATCCCAGGGAGTCCAGAAAGATAGGAAAATAAGCTGTACACACATCAGAAGATTACAGGTAGTATCAAAAAGAACACCACCTGTTAGAACACTAGGATATTAAAACAGCTAGGACCAAGGGTCCAGCATTTCTAAAAGGTCTTTCAGCAGCCTCTCCCACGCACGTGTAGCTAATACATGTGATAGACCTATGATTTTCAACTGAGCTCTACAGCTGTATTTTGCTATTACCCTTGCAAATCACTCCTAGACAACTTGGGAAACTTACAATACACTAAAGTAGCCAGCCAACCATGGCTGGAACCATTCAAAAGCTGACAGATGCCACAGGATCTAATTTAAAACTAACCCTGCCCTCAAAGAGGTTAGCATTAAGGCTGAAAAACTGACCAATCACAACACTTTTCAACTATTACACTCCATGTCTATTTAACTGCAAAAGAGAACACAACGCTCTTCTTCCCTGCATATCAAAGATCAGATATAAAGGGACACCAAGTACCTCCTTCCCTGTATCATTTAGTGGAAGACTGAGGCTAGGATCTGATGTAACGTTTATGAAACACAACCTGAATGACTTTTCAAAGCATGCTGCCTTTGAGCAAAATCCAGCTAAGTGAAGAAAAATTCCTTTTTGTCCATTTACTAGGTGCCTCTGAGAATGGATTTGATTTGATTCACTGTTTTGCTAAGTCACTTAAGCATTCACACGTGATGTAAACAGCTAGGTTGACAATGAAAGCACAAAGAGGAATACACAGCTATCCTCAGTATATCTGAATTGCACATAGGAACACAAACTGTTCTTATTTAAGAAGCTGAACAGCATATACATTTTTGTACTTCCACTTTTGTGGAAATTTCTATAGTTTTTTGAAACACATTCCCATCTTCAGCTTGATTTGCCTCCATCAAATGACTTACATTATTAATATTTCAACAGGGTACCTTAATAGTTTAAGATACACTTTATTACAAAACAAAGTATTTTAACCTTAATATATTAATATAGTATCAGTACACCTCAGAATGAGTGCGGTTAGCACTCTTGAGGGTCATACCACTCACTGATCTTGGCCATATATCAATGCAGTAGTAACTAGCTCAAAAAATTGAAATTCAACTTAAGCAGAAAAACAAAGGAGCAGTATGAGGATCAGGATGGTGTTTCTCCCCCCCGCTTCTTTTAAGTGACAGATACTTCATGCATAAAACCTGGAAAACTTATGAAGAGTAGCCTATTCCTTATATCAAAGTATTTCACAACTCTGTGTAAAACAGCGCAAATTTTTTTATAATCTAGCAGGATTTATAACTTTTTCCAGTCAGTTGCAGCAAACAGAACAGACCTTAAGATTCAAGAGCGATTATTTCCCATCTGAAGTATCTTATGAAATTCTGCGACTTCAGAAAGACTCATTCTAGCATGGGGCCCCCTGCTGGTGCACAAGCAAGCCAGAAATGGAAGACAACCTGACCGAGGCTTCCCCTCTACCACAGTAACCCAAACACCCCTCATGCAGATGCAGGCAGGTCAGAAGTCACTACTGCTAACACAACTTCTGTTAATAATAAAGGCTCATCTAACTGGACCAAATAGTAGTCCATCAGCTTTCCCCCGACATCCCAAATACAGCTAGTAAAAATTTATATACCATGTGGAATATTTAAAAACAGCTAGTGGGCATTTATAAAGGTAATCTAACAACGACAGTTTCATCTTAAACATTAGGATCAGCACAACTGCTTATAAGCCAGAGAGTGTTCTTTAAAAAAAAAAAAAAAATCAAAAGAAACCTTACCAATTTAACAGCTTCCTGAGCTGCCTCTTTAGTACAAAAAGTGACAAAAGCATATCCTCTATTTAGACCAGTTAGTGGATCCATCATTAAGCGGAGATCCCATATAGGGCCAGCTTTCTCAAATAATGGAACAAGTTCATCTTCAAACAAGTCTCTTGGAATCTTGCCCACAAATATCTACAACAGACATACAGAGTGTTGTTTATAAAAAAATACTTCCAATGAATAAGAATACATCTATATAAACATCTCCTTACCTCTGTACCAACAGAAGGTTGTTGTCCTGAATATACCAACTCTGGAGGAGGTCCACCATACTTTCTCTGTCCAGTAGTCACATCAAGAGTATATCCGGTTCTCTCCAAGAGTGCCTTCAAGTAAGAAACTTAAAAGTTTAAAATCATATACAAATTGAGCTAGTTTAGATGCACTTCATTCACAGACATGCTTAGAATTCCTCTTAAACTGTACTACTTTGAAACTCCCACAGGCAAACAAGTCTACTGCTAGTATTTCAACAAGAAACTTGCAAAACGATCATTACAACTATCAGGTAAAGAGACACTGAATTAGAGATTCATATAGTGTTTTCCCAATTCCTTCATTCTCATACAAAAAAGAAGGCCAAGTAAAAGAACATCAAGCTTCCCTTTAATTAGAAAGATCTTAGTCTGAGCCACTTCTTGTTTTGGCATGTCCAATCCTGCAAACACTTATGCACAGGAGTTCCCTCCACTTAATGAGATTACTCATAAGTGTGAAGTTAAAGAACACATGTTTAAGTGCTTACACCCCTGGAACACTATACAGACTGTTTCAGGTATCCAACCACTGAAGTGGTAGCACCACTTCCTTTCTCCTATGCTTCCCGCCGCCCCCCAAATTGTGAGTACATACAGCGTCCCAGCACAACTGATCCTCACTAGAATCACTGCATACAGTTACAGATATGCTACTAGTTTAAAGTGTTAGATGAAATTCAGTATGCAAATATATAATAAGAAACTCCTCTGAAATTAGCCTTTCGTAATAATTTTGTACAAAGACAAATCAACTCTACACACAAAGAAACAGCATATTAAACAAGCCTAACTATAACCAAGAGTTAGTAATTTCACAACTGGAAAATTGAAAACTTAGTTTAAATGCTATAGCCATCAGCAATAAAAGCTATGCTACCTCAAGTTCGTTAACAAAGTCCTTATATTGTTGTTTTATGTGGTAGTGACAAAAACTGTATCAGTTTTTTTTTAATCTATAATTAATGACATCCCAGCCTCCAAGTCAGGAGAAAAAAGATTTTCTAGTTTCACAAGCTACGTAGTTATTTGTAATATGTAACATTTTCATTTCACACTTCACACATGAGAAGTTAAAGATGAAAGATTCTCTTGCCTTTTAAGACATCAACTAAGCATGTTTGGACGGTTTTCCTTTCTTTAAGAAGCTTTGGTAAAGTTGCTAATCACAGAATTTAAAATAAATCATAGTATGCCTAACTCTTGAGAAAGGAGTCTCTTGCTAGCAGAAGACTCAGTCCAAGAAATAACATGTCAATTACTAAGACTGCTTGGGGTACAGTTTATGAGAACAGTGATTACGTCATAAGTGGGCTAAAACCTAAACCCATTAAAATCTGTTTTTTCAGACACATCTGGTATCTCCTCCCTACTGCAGAATTGCTTTAAACCTGAAGGAAAACAAAACACACAAAAAAGAAACCAGAACAAGCAAAAAAGAAAAGAAAAAAAACACCAGTAGCTGAACTTACGCATTCTGAACTCAAAGATCTATGCTGACAAGTTTCCAAAAGCTTTTAACTGGTAAATAGTGTAACTATCTCAACTAGATGTAAAGCAAACTGCCAGATCTTTCACTTTAATACACATTCAGTTCCAGTAATTAACAGTATGTTAACCTTCCTCTTGAAAACAAAGTGCAAGATACAAATGAAAGTGACAGCTTTCAATAAAAAATAATCCAAAATAGTCTTTTTAAAAAAAGCACAGTTCCAAAAGAATCTGTCACAACAGCTCTGAAAAACCACAGATAGACTGCGTAACTTTTATCTTTTAGGCACATACCTTAATTTTTGCCTCATCTGGTCCTTTGCTAGAATCTGCCACCTTGGTCCCCTGTTTTTCCCTCTGCCTGTATGTCTTCATGACTCCACATAAAAAGGCACTTTTGTTCTGCAAAAGATATATTACTCTTCAGTTCTGAAAACATGACAAGCTGGAACCTAACCTTACCTTGAACTAATACAGAGCTCATTTTACATACCCTATATGGATCACTGAAGAGACTTAAGTAAACCTCTTCCCAGTCAACTAGCAGTTTATCCCTCAACAATTATATTCTAAATTGCTTAACGTTACCTGAACATGTGAAAGATCACTGTCTTTAAACTGCTGAAGCACTGCCAATGCACCTTCTTCATTAAATTCCTTTAAAGCTTCAATAGCTCTTTCATCTAGATCACTATGTGCAACTAGCCCTAGAGAAAAGAAAAAAATTACTCATTATATTTGAGCAGCAAACTTTGTTTAACCACATTTAACACATCTAAAACACTTCAGTGACCCCTAAATCAATCACTGATTAATGTAAGCTACTATACATAAGAAATCACTTAGTCCTCTTCAAGGTAAATATTTAAGCCTATTTAATCTTTTTGTAATCAAAATGTGTCCAAAAAAAAAGTTAAGATTCACAATAACAGTTACTGCATTTATGTATTCATTTGACTTCTGTGAAACCTAGATGTTACATGGACCAGGTTTATTTTCAATATCCTGAAGCTGAATTCAGAAGAATCTATCAACACCTGACTTAGCTTGCTTAGCAATGGTACCTTCATACATCTTGAGAAGACTACAAAGATAAATAAACTGCAGCACTGAAAGTGACCACCACAATCCAAAAATCAAGCTTAAAAAATGCTATTACCATGTCTGAGAGAACCAATACAATAACCTTTGCATCCATGAGCCCAAATACTATGTCACGAAGTATCATTTACATGAGAAGATCAATACCAAGGCTTCAGTTACTTACAGTTACTGTACAGTACTACAACTACAGTAAAAATGCACAAAGACCACATGACCTACTCCTCCTAAACATCATCTGTTGCCTATTCCAGCTGTTACTATGGTCACCTGCATACTTCTCCTCCTTCCCACCCCTCAGCCCAAGTGGCCTGGCCCACTATTCTCTGAAAAATACAACAAATTAAAGCACTGAATGGAAAATATCCACAGATTTTGGTAAGGCTGCAGTTCCCATACTTTTGGAAACCACAAAAAGTTGCTATTTTAGCCCAAAGACAGCAGAATCCAATAAAATATTGTAAGTGAGGTTTTGCAAGTTTTTACATCTTACCTGCAACGTAAATTTCATCTAGTTTTTCAGCAACTTTCTGTGGTAAACCAGCATCAAGCAATGTCTGGAAATGCTCAGAATGGGTAACTGCAGCAGAAGTATCCATGGGCTCTTCAGTACCATTCCCATTAACATGTTCAGTAGCCATGTTTCCAGATATCTGTTCAAATGCAATAAGCATCACAATTAAGCTAAAAATATCTTCAAGTAGAACAATTCAAGTGACAATACATGCAACAGACTGCCCTATTCTTGCAAAAAAAAAAATCGTAGACCACTTCCCTCATACATTTTCGCTTCGGAAGACGGCACAAAATTCCTCAAAAGAAGCACCAACACAAAGGAAAGCCCTAACACCGCTGCCTAGCCGGGGGTGGGGTAGCTTTCACTGCAGGTTTTACACAACCCAGCCAGACACTCTGACTCACCTCCCTCTCTCTGTCTCTCTAACACACTCCCTAAGAGGCTCTGAACAAGTTAGAAATGGAGCAAGAAGCCAATGGCGGGGGTGGGAGGAAG